TATATACACACACCATCATTAACTAGATCATAATTATACTATCATATATACACACACCATCATTAACTAGATCATAATTATAATTCAACAATACCTTTGAAGAAAACAAACGTTAAGAGCAAACTAAAAACCAACTTTACCAATAGTTGATGGACATAACATAGGGCACAGTGAAAGTCAGTATGGTCATGGCTGTGCACAAGTGTCTCCCATTGAGGCTAAGTCAGTCAGTTAAGTCTCACTCTCAAAATGTTCCCACATGCATATAATTTTGTTAAAGATGGGGGAACAAATTTATACTTTAACAATATGAACAATATTCCCCTAAATTTAAGTACTGACTTTAACCACTACCAACTAGTAATCTGTTAAAAGTAAAGCAACAGAGTAAGCAGTGTCTGTGTAGCAGCCAAAGGAAGGATGTAAGTTTAAATCTTACCTTGACAGAGTAAGCTAATGCAAGTGTTACAGCTAATGGAAGACCTTCTGGAACTGCTACAACAAGGACAGTGACACCTATGATGAAGAACTTAACAAGAAACTGAACATAGAATGCTGACCATGGCTTGCTTTTAACGACGAACGTGGTTATAGCAAAGCGTACAATAAGGATGACTACTGTAAGCACTGCAATTGTGGAACCTACAAAATATACAAAATGTTATGTAAGTAGTAAATTGTTATGACATCTAAATGGTTATTAATATAAGGAAATTAATGGAAATAAAAACTTAAGATAATTAAATATATTTTTTTAAGTACTAAAATAAATAACAAGTTCCCATGATTATTTTGTAACTATTAAGGTGGATAACAGTTTACACACTACAGATTACTCTAAACAGTAGAGAAAACTAATTAATCAACAAATATCAAACTGAAATTTGTTTCCAAATAAATTGTTCTAAGTAGCTTTAGAAAGTAACCAAGTATTAAAAAATTTGATAAATTTTCAAAACTTTATCTTCAGTTGATCTATCTGCATAGAGATAACAATGCATGAAATAATAGTTTGTTTTTTTACTATTAATAAGTCATTATGGTTTCAAATTATGCAAAATCCCTGTAAACATTAATTAAGGACAAAATGATAACTAAAACAACAGGCTTTTTAAATTGAATTTTTTCTATTTAGTTTTGAGACTATGTTTAAAGCTCCAAGCTAAGTTCTTCTTATAATGCAGGACTCAGGATGGAACCTAAAACACTGTCTCAAAGTCACAGAAAGAACTTCACATTCTAATGACAAAAAATATCTATAAAATGTTTAATCTTGTACAAACAATACTGTATAGTACTTCACATTAAATGCTGAATTTATTCTAGAAGAAAGCAAACAACACCATGAGATATTAAGTATGTAAACAACAATAAATAAATAAATCACACCATAAAGAAATCGCTTCATTATGTCAATAAATCATTGTTTGCCTACTTAATATCGCATTAGCATAATATGCTTCCTTACTCAAATAACACCAATGGATTTTTACCTCCATATCCAATCTGAATAGCTAATTTGGTAAGTTTTGCCTGAAGCACAGACTTCTCCTTTCTAGTACTAGTTTCTATGTCCTTGGATTTTTTAGGACTATCTAATGGGAGAGGTTCTGTGGTGTGACTGTTGACAGTCGATGCATTCATGAGGTTTGGGTTTCCTGTGACTGCTGCCTCCTCATCTAATTTTTCAAAAACACATACTCATAAATAATGTTACATAAACGTGTGCGACAAAAACGAAATTCGTTCTAACGTAACAAAGTTCTGGATGTTGGAAAAAAATGGTTTATCTCAGAGTTCATTTGGATGAAATAAATTGTGTCTTATGTGCCATAATGAAATCAAATTATATATGAAACCCACACCAAATAAGATTTTACTAAGAAGCTCATTTATCATGTATAATGATAACTTGGAGAATATTTACAGTATACTTGACTATGTAGTTCATATAAAGGTCTGTGTTTTTGGATGTTTTTTTTGAAATAGAAAGTAGATGCCTTTTTATAGGATAAACTATTTGGTAACCAATACAATAACCTTACAATAAAGATGATTCATTACATGTCTGTGTGTTTGTCAGTATCCATCACCCAGATTGACTACCATAATTGTTGTATGGTAACTCTTCAATGATGTACATGGGCTACTTTTTTTATGATTTCTGACAAAGAAAGGGGATAAGAAAACAACCCTGAAATAGGGCACATTTCCACTTTTTTCTACACATTTGGCTTTCATTACTCAGACTTGGCTGACTCAATTTCTGCAACTTTGTGTATGGTAACTGGAAACTATCTGATAGGGTATATATAGGCATCGAACAGTTTCCAGTTACCATACTAAAGTCCTAAAAGAAAGTAGCCTATATATACACCCTGTCGGACAGTTTCCAGTTACCATACTAAAGTCCTAAAAGAAAGTAGCCTATATATACCCTGTCAGACAGTTTCCAGTTACATACTAAAGTCCTAAAAGAAAGTACGGGTATGTATAGGCTACTTTCTTTTAGGACTTTTGTATGAGAAGGGGGAGATAAAAAAAACATCCTAAAATAGGACACATTTCCACATTTTTATAGATTTTTTGCTTTCAATTTAAAAACACAAGTGCAGGTTATCCGATTAGCATCTAATGACATCATTATTAGTTTAATAACAAAAGAAAGAAGTGGGGGAACATTAATTAACATTGTCCTTTATATAATTTTTGCTTTGTTAAAGTTTACCCTCAGCTAATCTTAATAAAAATATTTTATTTAACAGTTGTTAAATACATTCAACTTTTCTGTCAGTGACTAAGAACTTTTTACACAATATTTCAAATTTAACTTTTTTTAAAATAAAAAGCTAAAGTCATTACCATGAAAATAAACAAAAATTAAAACTGAATAACAAAAGCACCTTTGGAAGTAATTTTATTTTACTAAGTGTAAAAAATAAAGTCTACTTTTGTAAATGCTCAG